TATTGTCCTAGGGGACACTGGGTTGTATGGCCTAATGAAGGACCAAAACAATTTAGAAACAAGTGTCCACTACGAAACCTAAGTGACCGTTCATTTTTTATGAGAGAGGGGGCGCTGGTGGGATTTGGGGGGGGGGGCACTCGAAAAAAATTGGCTTGAAAGGGGGGCCAGCCGAAAAAAAATGAAGGAAAGGGGGGGTTGGACGAAAAAATTAGATTAAAAATAGGATAAGATATGTTTACAAATGGAAGAAAAATTGTGCTCTTTTATTTGTAACAAATATGCTAAAACAGTTCCAGGGTAACAAGAAAACTTCTCAACAGCTTTTATATTTTATAAGGACAGTGAACATACCATAATCAGTCTTGAATAGCAACAAGGTTCTTTTCATTCATAAAAATGTTGTTGTCAAGCTCATATAATTAAAACCAATAATTTGAGTCCTGAATTGGAACTGACCTCGTTACCAGAGCTTTTCTCTGAGAAATTTAATGGGAGAGGCATGAAACTACTTCGAGGTGTCATGACAGAAGCTTGAAGTAAATCAATTTGCCGTTTATGACACCAGCCAGACTACTTGTCCCACACTCCCTTGTACTGTTTCTTAGAGTCTGCTGTCCAAGATGCACAGATGATGTCAACTACTTGCTTTGAAAATCCCTTGTTTGACAGAGTTTTCCTGATAACGTCCAAGCGGCCAAGTTCAGTTTGTGTCTCAGCGGGTGCTGTTCTTGGTTGTGAGGGAGACTCATGAGGTTGTCTAGACGAGGCAACAAGATTGGCTGAACCGTTGACAACTGTAACAGAAGTGGATACCAACTCTGGGTAGGCCATACTGGTGCAATTAACAAAACTACAGCTTTGTCGTGGGGAATCTTGGGTAGTACTCGAGGTAGCAAACTAAAAGGAGGAAAGGTATAGCAATTCATATTAGCCCAGCTCAAAGAAAAGGCATCTATAGCCACAGCACCTGGCTGTGGGTGCCAGGAGATAAACTTTGCAGTCTTGGCATTAAGCCTAGATGCAAAGAGGTCAATCTCAGGAATAAAGGTTTGAGAAATAATTTCCTGAAAAACCTCACAATTTAAGGATCACTCCAAATTAGAGGAGATTTCCCTGGATAAGGTATCGGCCCGAGTATTAACCTTCCCTGTGATCTGCTGAGCAGAAATGAAAATATCCCTCAACTTGCACCATTCCCAAATACTTTGGACAATGAATCTAATAAGGGGGATCGTACACCCCCCATACTATTATAGGCCACTGCAGTGGAGTTGTCAAAGACGCAAAACACTGGAGAGCATGAAATGATGCTAGAAGTTCCAGGTAATTAATATGATGTTTGGATTCACTTTGAGACCATCTGCCAGATGCAGACAGACTACTACTTACGGCCCCCCAACCAATCAAACTTGCATCACTCTGGATGTAAATATCAATTTTCAGAACCTGAAAAAAGTTTACCATTGCACAGTTTAATATTCTCAATGACCCATTGTAAATCAGAACGAGCTTGAGAGCTTAAAGAAAGTGTCTTGTCATAATCAAGGCTTCCAGACAAAGTCTGAGTCTTGCATAAACTCTAAGGAACGGTAATCCATCTCTAGATAATTCACAGCCGGGAGTGCAGAAACTAACAGCCTGCTTACTTTAGCAACGTCCCTAACACTAGGTTTGATGCTTAGCTAAAAGGGCTTTACAGACCGAGACTATTTTCTCTAACTTAACAGCTGGCAACTGCAATCTCATTGCGATGGAATTAATTATGAAACCCAAATAAAGGATCTCGTTGACAGGAACTAGCTGAGATTTCTCAACATTGACGGTAAAGCCCAACTCACACAAAGCCTCGCACTGCTTTTCAACACCAAACTGAAGCTCCAATTTGTCAACAATCTTGGCATAATTTCAACAATCGTTATCAGACATACCATTGAGCACCTTTTGGGCTTCTCCTCAAAGGCCTGTAGCAAGAAATAGAGCTGCTTCTTCTTGGTTCCAACCATTAACGACAGAGCAACGCTCAAAGTGTTTCAAATAATCACATAGCAACCGAGTACCATCATAATCCGCAGGATTTTTAATAGGCTTGTTTAACTTCGGGCGATGTGTAAACAAATCAATAGAGTAAGACTCACCGATGCTAACGGGTCTTTGGAGTGAAATTGGTGACTTGCACTGCTACCATGTACTGATGGATCCAGCGGCGACGCAAACGAGCCCGCTGATTGGAATCGCCGACCTGGACCCTCCACATGCATTGATGAGTCTACAGATGAAACAGACTCTGATGTAAATGGTTTCCCGCTTTAAAAGAATAAACTGGCGTTGAACAACTCATTCCTTTAAATCCTGAATCCACAAGTGAATTTTCCGCCATTGTAAACGGGCGAGACCACAATAGCAAACACACGAAGAGACTTTGGATGAAAAACAATGGAGGACAATGAAACTCAGTCACGCAAACCATGAAAATATCGCCATTGAACACATATATCTAGGAAGTTTGTTGTTCTTCACTGCTGCCACCAGTGTAACGCCACGATTCCCAGTTAAAACACGGTGTTAAGAGAACAACACGAGTTTAATCTGCTACTCAACTACAATCGGTGACAAAATGAGTTGAGACACTTCGCACAAAACTGGGCTTTTTTTACGTTTTATTAACTTCAAAAGGAGGAAATATAGCTTTCCTCCCCCATCCCCTCCGTTCAATGTTGTGCCCTTGTTATAGCTACCTATAGAAAACAACAAACACCCCAACTTTGAATGGAGGGGACAGGGGAGGGGTGCGGATTCTTTTGTTCTCCGAAGTTACCCTATTTAAGTACAATGTCTCAACAATTTTGTCGCCGATTGTCTGAATCTCAAAAGTGGCCGTACGTCCTTTAGAAAGTTAATTGAATTCATTTGTTTATGCTGGGATGTAAAACCCCTGGTGGCTTTTTATTTGTGGTGTTTGACTTCATCATACCTATTTTAGAACAATTAGAATAAGGCAATTTTGTTATTTTCAGTGCGTGACATTTCGTGTCACGCTTAACCGTGCCTTGACATCGTGCAATGTGGCGCGTCGCGCACGATTTCTTATTCTCCCCTCTATCAAAACGCATCGAAGCAAAGAACAAAGTGAAAAGGATAGGAAAATTAATAGATTTCTACGCATTAAAGTAGTTATTATGGCTAAAATTGCTCTTTAGGAGGAATTTCCAGGAGTGACCACGATGAGTATAAAACAAAATAATCTGATTATCTTTTAAGCACAAAGTTGGTTACTCATGGCCGGTCTCCTCCTGACCTCATAGTTTCTACTGTAAAGTACATTCTTCAAAGACCCTTATGGGTATATGGGCAACGAATCTGCTGCACAAATTTAGCGATGCTATGCAGCTTTGCTGTGCATTAGAAGTTGGAACATTTTTCCCAAAAATTTTCCTGTGCATAGCAATCATGGCTATTTTATCGTCCATCCCACCCTTATCAAATAGCCAAACTTCGAATAAACACTTCGAACTTACTAGGGATGTATTCAAATACAATATATTGTCTTCCATCGATTCCTACCGATCACACTTAATTACCAGAGGAAAATCAATCATTCGGTATGTGGGTATGCTGCGTAATTACCTGAAAACACTACCGAGTACAAAGATTGTCAAAACTAATTTTCCCTCGAGAAACACAGGAAAGGGATTATATGGGTATCTTATGTATCTGCGGAACAACGACCCGGTGAATATAGTAATCTCAACTAGTTACCGTCTCCTAACCTGTGCTAATAAGACAACAGCACGTAGATTTCGATTCAGACAATCGGCGACAAAATGAGTTGAGACACTTCGCCCAAAACTGGGCTTTTTTACGTTTTATGAACTTCAAAAGGAGGAAATATAGCTTTCCTCCCCCATCCCCTCCGTGCAGTGTTGTGCCCTTGTTCTAGCTACCTATAGAAAACAACAAACACCCCAACTTTGAATGGAGGGGACAGGGGAGGGGTGCGGATTCTTTTGTTCTCCAAAGTTACCCTATTTAAGTACAATGTCTGAACAATTTTGTCGCCAATTGTAGTCTCACAATCATTTCTTCGCACCTGGTTATTACACCACGTCACGTGACTTACTTAGAGGGGTACCCGCGGGGTTTGCCTTGGGCCACAATACTTTAATGCAACAAATAAACTGAAATATTAACTTTTAAAGAATAGTAGTTACAATGAACTGCAAAAGAGGGTCAAAAGATTCTACAAACCACGCACAACGAAAAGCCTTTCCCATTATTATGAGAGTGGTTAGTAGAACAATTTTCATTGCTATGCTGCGCCTCTATGGCACACGCGGGGATAGTAAGATATGGGCGAAAATAATTTCCGCGTGTGCAAAGAAGTGCAGCAGGGATGAAGGTTTTCGTCGCTGAGGGGAGGAGGGAGGGGCAAAAAACGAAAGTCTGAATAGACCTCTCGGGGCATGAACGCATATGAGAGCAATCTATTGACGGTAGGGCGTATAAATACTACAGGAAAATTCATTACCTGACTCGTGAATTCCATGTTAAATTGCACGCGAAAACCGATATCGCACGAATCGCGAAGCGATATCGGTTTTCAAGTGGAATTTAACGTGGAATTCACGAGTCAGGTAATGGATTTTCCTTGAATCGCATAACCGAATAAAAATCAGAAAAAAAAAAAGAAAACGGCAATAATATTGTTTGTTTTTATCCTGAGCGAGCGCTCCAGAAAGCCATTTCAAAGTCAACTGTCAGAACTGTCATTGCGTTAGCGAATAGGAAGCAAGGTCAGTTGTGCACGTTTGAACCTTCGACAACTTTTTTTGTACCTTGTGCTTGTTTTTACATTTGTTTTCAAACTTTTTTACACGTAAACAAGATTCACATTAGTCGTAAGGATAAATAGAGGTATTTCACTGAATTTACAAGCCGTTTATCTATAACACCTTTTTTTCAAATTGGTCATTTGCTCGAGAAGGAAAATAATTTACACCTTTTACCTCTTTGGCGGCAAAACTGAAAGAAATGAAGTGTCCAAGCTAAAGCACTGAAAGTTTAACGTCGCGATTGATATATGGTAAGTGCCTTGAAATGTTTTAGAAATACTGTTCAAGTTCAGCTCTGTTTTGTATACTTTTCTAAGTATCACGAGTCAGGACGATTGCAAGCGGCGTACTCTTTTTCGTGTTTTCAGGGGCCATGTCGTCTTTGAAGGTATTTATTTCTTTTTCTGTATATGTGACAATCGACCCCGGCACTTCCTCCATTGTCGCTTCTCCGTTTTGTTTGGTTGAACTTTGGCTTGCCATTTTCTGGGCCGTGTTCACAAGATTTTCTTGTTTTCTCGTTGTCGCGAGCGAAAGACGTTTTTTATGCCTCTTCGAGAATTTTTTAGTTCAGTTCAAAACATGGAAGAACCTCCGGCTCACTATAAAAAACGCTTTTGTTTGTTTTTAACTCTTCAAAAGGTGACAATGGTTTTGAAAACATTTTAAAATGACATTGTAGAAAACCTTTTTTGCAGTTGTTGTGTTAGAATTTGACGATAGTTGTTACGTAGATGCGAAACAATATCGCTTAGCCTCGTTTTCAACTCGCAATTCCACACTAAATACCTCGCTTCGTTAACCAATCAGAGTGCAAGATTTTACTTAATTATGCGTTTCTAAGCTAAATACCCAGGGGTGCTAGAAAGGTCTCTAGAGAGAAAATATGCTAATTTAAAGAGCGCGCGAATCCATTTCGGCGCAATTATATCAATGAAAATAGTGGAACAATTTTCATTGCTATGCTGCGCCTCTATGGCACACGCGGGGATACTAAGATATGGGCGAAAATAATTTCCAACCCGAGTGTGAAATGCTGCGAATAAGCCAACGACCCCCTGAAAACGCCCCATTCCTCCCAATCTCAGACGCTCAGGCCTACGAAGAATCAAGGAAAGGCGAGGGATAGCCCCTCGAGATTATTGCGAGCGCTGAACTCGGCCCCTAATGAACCTGCACGAGAAATACTATCTTTCCCTCTAACAGTGCCTTGGGCAAGAAGAGAAGCTGGCAGCGACAAATCCATATCTTTGGGGACTTGAGAATAATATCGAGCCATCTGGATGCTTTTCCAGCCAACAGGACTAGCCACTTGGTCATCTGAGGCACCTAGAAGAGATAGAGTTATGGAACAACCGCTCCTAAAACTGTGCATAGTTTCACCCTCATCAATATTTAATGCCGTGAGATGAAGGCGGAGATGGTTCGCCACTGTAGAACCCACGAACGGCTTTGGAGAAACACGACCTTTAGGGTCGGTATCAAGGAAGAGAAAACCCTCCCGAAGGTTGATGTTCATGAGGTCGGCTATCTTAACATACGTGGTGAGATTTACAACAGGGCAAACCACAGTGTCCTGGGGGCACCTTTTAACGGCTAACTGATTCTTGGAGTCCTTTCCACGAAGCGTCTTCCCAAACGTGTGGTGAAACAAAAGACCTTGATCCTCAGGTAGCAGGAGAACCTCTTTGGTATAAACACGACCAAGGTCAGATGCTCTGTCAGCCGAGTAGAAATCAAGACAGAAGAAGGCGAGATCGCGGCTTATGGTGTACCTTTCCAACGGGGATACGGATGAAAGGCACATGCGGTTACGTAAGTAGGTGCACAGCTTAGTAAACTTGTCAAAGAAAAATGGCACAGCTTGGCGAGGGGAAACTCTTGCTTAAGCTTGTTCCTCGGAGATTGATACCAGGTATTTCTTAACGGACGGATGAGCCGCAGGGTTACCAGGGGACAAACCCAACCAATCACCCGTTTGACCAACGGAATTAAAAATAGCACGTAGCTTCCCAATTGCGCTATTAACTGTACCGGCAGCGACATTTCCGTTTAGAGTGAGAGCCGAAATTAGGGCAGCTGGGTGCGTGGACCTTAGTCTTTCCCTTAGAGTCCTTCCACACGAGAAATCTAATGACATCCTTAGGGGAAGCAGAAGTGGGAGACTTGGGGGTTGGAAGGGAGGATAAAAAGGACTCCAGTTCGACATACAGATTACACTTCTGTTTCTCATAAGGTTTGGCAGCCCTAACTGATTGAAGAGAGGAAATTCTGCGATCAATGGCGGGCAGATTGAGGGAAACGAAGGAGGTTCTTGCGGATACTGGAGGCGGAATGGGCTGAAATCCGCAGTGTTGGCAAAAGTTAAAGCCAGTGTCGTTAGCATAAGAACAATCGGGGCACAAGGAGGCGGGCTTCCAAATGCTGGAAACGTTCCCAGAGGACTGGGGAAAGGAGAAATCACAATGAGACAAACGGATTCAAATAAGTATTTTAATACAAAATACACAATCAAACGTAGGTGATAAGAAAAGGAGCACTGTCCTGCATGAAAAACAAGGTTTATACAGGGTTTATACAGTCCTGCCATGAAAAAGCAAAAAGAGCAGGTTTATACAGGGCAAAAGTTTGAAACACTCACCAAGTTTCCTGGACTTGGGGACTACAATGGCAATCCTAGATTCCATAAGGACAAACGGTGGAAATACATACGAAATGGTATCCCAAGCCAGAAAGGGAGAGGGAGCAGGATGTCTACCGGCTAAATCCTCTGGACATTATCAGAGAACCAAGTTTGAAAAAGGTCCTTTGAATAACCTGCCAGGACGCGGGACTCAGCGAGCAGTCCAGATCTGAGGGAACTCGGGAGGGATAATCTGCTGGGAAGAAACGAGAAGCGGCCACCAATATTTCCTGGGACGAAGGTTGGGGACTACAATCGTGTAGGGACAATCCTGAGATGCGAGAAATCTAATCAGGGGGCCAACAAGGACAAACGGTGGAAATACATACGCATTGTGAGAAGGAGCTATCACCTGCGAGAAAATATTTGTCCCAAGTGCCTGCGACGAGGGAGAGGGAGCGAAGAAAGGAAGTGCTCTACCGGCTAAATCGCTCTGGACATTATCAGGAGTAGCCATAAGGTCGATGGTGTGTGGGCCAAAGGTCCTTTGAATAACCTGCCAGGACGCGGGACTCAGCGAGCAGTCCAGATCTGAGGGAACTCGGGAGGGATAATCTGCTGGGTTTTCTTCAGAAGGGACGAAGTGCAAAATGACATGTAAATTAGCAGATAAAGTTAAATGGAAGATTTCTTTCAGAACGTTGTTGACGCGGGCGTTCGAAGAGCCATCTTTTTCCCAGCAAGCAACCAAGGGTGCATTATCGATGAAACAATCAACCCTAGCGTTTGAGACAAGACGAGCCACCCTTTGCAAAATGAACAGAAGGGCCAAAGCTTCCTTCACGATGATGGGAAGATCACCTTCATGGAAGTTCCAATGACCGCGAAACTCTTGTTGCGGTTGACCAGGCAAACGGAGGATGCCGCCCCAGCCAGATTTTGACGCATCAGAAACGACAGTCAACTGGAAATGCTTCTCACCCTTCCACAGTAAGAAACCGGACCACGAATCCAGGAAACGCCAATGTTCAAGCTCTTGCCTTAAGTCGGAGGAAACAGGAATAGCTCTTGGGGACTTAAGTGCCCTCGACATGGCCAAACACGCTGCTCAAGAATACAACCTGGCGGCAGGGACGACAAGTGTGAAGGAGCTTATCTTTCCAACAAACTTCTGAAGGGACTTAAGAGATACCGTTTTGTGGCTAAGCAGATCTTCTCTAAGAGAGGCGAACTTTTTATCGAGGGGCATCAAGAACGCAGTTTTAGTAGAGTCTATGATGTACCCCAGAAAAATCGGCGTTTGCGTGGGGAGAAGGGTCGACTTTTTAAGGCCAGTAAAGTAACCAAGATCAATGAGGATGTAGCAGGCGATATAAAGGGCTGCTTGAGCACGCTGAAAACCAGACCACGAACAAGGAGGAGCGGTACGCCGGATTTGAAGTTCACCAAAATGACGGTCGTCTATATATTGAGAACATGGGATGCCATGAGAACGAATGTAGCTAGTGGTGATCAAACTGATAGAATGATAAAGGTACGTGCTAGCCTTCCATCCAAAGGGGAGAGTATTAAAAACAAAGTACCATCCATTCCACTGAAAACCGAAGTACGTCCTACTGTTTGGCGAAAGACGGACATGGTCATACCCACTTTTGTCATCGCATGTGGTTTGGAAACTATTGTTATGGACGTAACGGGGGAGGTCAGTAATAAGATCCAAGGAGAACGAAAGATCTTTGATCCACAAGTTGAGAAATCTTTCATCATGGCACATGCGGGGTTTTGTAGGTTCAATGGTGATGGGCATAACCAAGTAAGGAGGTGACACTTCCCCCACCTTCCATCAAACCGACAAAGATCCATTGGCCACTCGCTCCAGAATAGTTTTAGAGATAAATTCAGAAAAGGCTCGAAAGCTTTTACTATTGGGGAAAAACGCACGGGGGGGGTGATGAGCCGCTATAAACTTGACCTTGAAATGAACCCTCAAATTTAACGAAAAATTCTGTTGCATCCACACCAAACTCCAGGAAACGAAGGAAAGTTGATCGGACCGGGGAATCATGGAGAATCCTGGACCACATAGACCGATTATAATGGATGAAACCCGAGATAAAAAATGAGGGGTTGCAAAAACGGACAAGAGTTGGCGAGGCATGGACCTTTCCAGAGGCCACCGTCTGAGACAGGAGTGGACTGGCCCAGTTGGAGGGCTCCCCTTTCCAGTTACACCACATAGGAGTTGACTTAACAGATTTCTGGGCGTGTTTTAACTGAAGGTCAAACGACAAGGATGACGTCTAGAAAGAGCGAAAAAATTGAAGTTACCACGAAGATAAATAGATAACTGAAAAAAGGGGAGCCACCAACCAGGCTGATCCAGGGACCCCGTCACAGACAGAGTATCGGGTATAGTTTAGAGAACCCGTCCCAGATCAACCAGATTGATAGAGGGAGTAAAAAATCAAAATAAAATAACAACACACTTAGAAGCCAAACAGGTAAACATTTATTTGGACAAAGTAAATCACCGACATGTGAACATATCAATTCCTAGGGCAGAATCTAGCCATATGACCCCTTTGGCGGCAACTGAAACAGGTAGGCTGCGAGGAACGCGGATGATACCGGAAATCGGGGGGCCTGCGGGAGGAAGACTGCGTGGGTGGAGGAACATGAGGCCATAACGAAGCCGATGGACGAAGAGACTTTTGAATAGCTTTTGCTACTTCAATATCCTCCTTATCCCCAACCAACTTGAGAATAATGCTTTGGAAGTGCGGATTGCCGAGGAGAGGGCTGCACTGACGGAGAATTGTGCTAAACCGTTTGGTTCTGGCATCCGCTTTGTCCCGAGCTAAATCCACCAAAGACTTGAGTCCTGCCAGAGCTCTATAAGGATCAAACACCGGCGGCGGCTTTGCGAGTTCCTGCTGTAGTGACAAGAGAGCCGCCGCAACAGTATTAGAGGCAGAGGACCTTTTAAGTTCCAGTAGCTCATTTTGGAGTTCTCTAACGGTCATCTCAGCCTAACGAAAGAGTTTTAAAATAAAATTAAGACTGGCGAACAATACAACCAACCACAAGAAACTTGATCATAAAATTATGAAACGTGCAGTTGTGCGAATGCAAACGATTGGCGCTTCAAAAGAAACTATAGTAGAAAACAACAACTCAAGCATATTAAGGCATGGCCTGAGGCTAATTTACATAAAATCCTGTAAGGGTGATAACTTTTTGAAAATTTATCAGAACCTTCCAAAATTTAGCAACCTCGGAAAAAACGGGTAACATTAATTTTTAGGTAACGTAAGAAATAGATATCTGTGTAACGTGACCACTTACTGTCGAGTCCAGGAAAGAAAAGGAAACTAAAATCGGCGTAGCGAAATGCCACATAGTATATATTAAATACAGTATTTTTGCTATTGTATCATCATTTCTCGCTTGAATCTGGCTGGAATGGTTGACTCCCGTGTTAATTTAATTAGTAATAAAGCAAAATAGGTCACGTGACGCTATTCACCTGTTAATATGTTTTAAAGAAATTAAAATTCTCCTGTTCCGGCCCCAGAAAAAATTCGTACGGTAAAACAAACATTTACACATGGTTTAAACTTAGTTGTAATCAACCATTCCTACTCCATTTTGAAATTCTTTTGAATATCATTATCACGTCACGTTAACGTGATTCAAAGCCTCGAAAGAAGGTTTCTCGAAGGTTTTTTGCAACTTGTAGAACTAAAATGCGTGGTCGTAGAAGAAAAACAAGTTTATCTTCGCGGGGGGTCGAGACCAAAAATTGAGCCACGCCTTAACATGCTTAAGAGCAAAGCGTACTACAATACAAAGATAAACGAAGAAAAACAGAGAGGAAAATCTCTCTGACTGTAACCCGTTGAGAGAGATAAAATATGAGCGTAAACAAACTTTCAAAGCGGTAGATTCCAGAACATGATATAGGAGGGATGCAGAAAAAACACGCTCGATGGAGTATGAAAATGAGATATAAACAGAAAAAGGAACAGAATGACACGCTAACAGCGAAGACACCCATAAAAGCAACTCGCCATGAATACTAACCTAAAAAGGCCACACTTTAAAAATAAGACCGGCGTAAGACGGCGACCGACGACACGGAGCAAACATGAAAAAACTAAAGATAACGAGAGGACTAACAGGCAGGCCCACACACGCCACAAAAACTGACTTAAAAACGGGATACGCCAAGAAAACTAAATTGTTTGAAGATGACACGTACCGTGAGAAGCAACTTGAAAAGCGACACACGCCATAAGAACCAAGGCGACATATGCCAAGAAAATAAATCTTAGACTACACACCTTGAAAACAAACTTTAGTACAAAACGCCGCAAAAACTAACTTGAGGGCGACACACGCCATGAAACTAATTTGAGAGGCGACAAACGCCGTAAAAAATAAGGCAACGTATGCCATGAAAATAAATTTCAGACTACACGCCGTAAAACAAACTTGACAAAATGCTGTGGAAACTAACTTGAGGGCGACACACGCCATGAAACCAACTTGAAAGGCGACATACGCCATGAAACTAACTTGAGAGGTGACACACGGCGTAAGAAACAAGGCGACAAATGCCATGAAAATAAACTTCGGACTACATGCCGTAGAACAAACTTGACAAAACGCCGTGAAAACTAACCTGAGGGCGACACACGCCATGAAACCAACTTGAAAAGGCGACATTCGCCATGAAACTAACTTCAGGGTGACACACGCCATAAAACCTAACCTAAAGGCGACACACGCCCTAGCTGAAAGCTAACTCAAAAGGCGACACACGCTAAGAGAGCTGTCTTGCAGACCAAAACATGTTATGAACTTGAAGCTAACCCAAGGGGAAACACATGCCGAAGATTGCAGAGCGAGAAACATTCAAGAGACACACCAAAACAACCTAGACTAAACTACAGCTCTACGAAAAATGAGCGAACTACGGAGGGAGCAGGAACAACGCTAAGAAACGAAAGAAACCAGCTTACCTCTTCAGCGGGTGGCGCAGGATTATCGCCAGCAATAGGAGCTTCAGTAGCGGCAGCCGCAGCCGGCCTAGCGGCTTCCAAAACGTCCGGGGGAATAGCAACAGGTGCTTCAGCCATAAAAGAACTTGCTCAGCGACGAAAACGTTCAGTGAGTCCACAAAAAACGAAAGTCTGAATAGACCTCTCGGGGCATGAACGCATATGAGAGCAATCTGTTGACGGTAGGGCATATAAATACTAAGCTAAGTATCCAGGGGTGCTAGAAAGGTCTCTAGAGAGAAAATATGCTACTTTAAGGAGCGCGCGAATCCATTTCGCCGCAATTATATCAATGAAAATAGTGATAATGATTGTCAATGAAGATTTATCTAAAAATTCCTCTCTTTAAAAAATAGAATCTAGTTGAAATGTGGTTATTTCGAAAACGGAGAACACGCCTCTGTAAGGAACTTAGACATGCGAGTAGTTGTTGTCTAAGGAGAAAGGACATTCATATGACGATGTTTTTTAGGTTACAAATGAATACACAATTTTTTTTTCATGGATATTGATATTTATTTTTATCATGATTGTCTTCTTTGCAACAACAACAACAATAACAAATCCGTTGTCAACCTCTCTGCTGTATGAAAGTTAAAAAGACGTTTTAATGATCGAAGTATTTGAGTACAAGTGGAACCTCAATTTAACGAAGTGACAAGGGACAGGAGAAATGTGTTAGTTATTATAAATGGATTATTCGGTATATCAAACACCTCTATATAATGCATGCTCAGGAAATGTTATATTGAAATATAGGAATAACATTTCAGTCCCATGCTATACATAGCTGTGGCGCTAGAAACTAACTAAACTGTTCAACTACTGTAAAAAGAATTTTATCCGTTTTGGTCTGTTTGGCATTCATCTTTTATCACTTGCTAACATTGATTCTTTATATTGAAGTAAATTTTTTGTTTGCGCTGTGTATTGCATTCATTACATTGTTAAATCTAGGTTCTCTCCATACATTTCACAGCAATTTTGGCCGGGCTGAAGAAAATTGTTTGTTATACAAGTACAGAGGTTTGTTAAATCGAGTTTTCACTGTTCTAAGGTAATTTACAGTCAAGTGCACATTTAATGTTTTATATTTTAATAGGTGTTTTCAAATTCATTCCTGAATACTCTTTGGTATTCTTGGTGGGGGCTGGTGTGCCACCGCGTTTTCCAAATCGTTGACCTATTTCAGACCAAAAAATGTCATTTTCCAGACTTGTTTTCACACCAGACCTCTAAAATCCATGCCCGTTTTCAGACCTGGCCTTTAGGCAGAAATTATGTCATCATCACTTAGATTAGATCGCAAACAAAAAAATTCCTCGACTCCATTTCTTCAATTCCCATATTTTTCTTCCTTTCTTACTCATTTGGAATTGAAATGCTAAATACGTTCGTACACTCCTGTAGTTCTCTCGAAGACCAAAACAGGAAAAGTGAAAACCCGTTTTCAGACCAAAACAGCGCTAAAATCCTACCTGATGGGGGCACATACCTATATAGCTTATATATGGGAGTACTCCCCTCCGAGCAATGTATATTTTAAGTTATTTTTGTTTTCTAAAAAAATTCATAATTAATTTGGCATAAAAAACTTTAAACTCCCCCCAACTAGGGGGTCCTTCATGCTCCAGGCGCAATAAAGTCTGGTCTTCAATGGGCCCACACTTTTTGTGGCTAGTGGCTGTGTGGACCCATTGGGCCGCCCCTGATGATGCCTTTCTTAGGTCTTCAAATGAGATTTCACAAATGTTCTTTTCCTGAAGGAAAAATAAGAAGAAACTTTTCAGGGGACTACACCATTTATTTATCTTGTTAGGAGTAGAGTCATTTCAGTTCAAAGTTTATTAATTCACATTACAATTTGTCCTTTCTGATCGAGATAATAAGAAGTAGGCATCTTCACCTGCCACTTAATAGAATCAGTTCGTGTTTTCTCAAGCAGGCTGATGAGGTTCTCTTACCTTATTAGTATGCTGATGTTTTGGCAAGTCACCGACATTTTTTTGGTTCAAAAGATGACCCGCCAGAAATTTCATAGATTTTAAGTCCCAGCCATGTTGGTTTTAACTACCAAAACAGTTTAAGCTGTTAAAACCAAATGAAAAAACTACAAAAAACCTTGTTATAAAACTTCCACCAGCACAACTGTTTTGTTCTTGCTTCTAGAGGATAGTGTAGTTGGATTCTATCTTTCACCGCAAGTCATTGAAGTTAGACTCTTAACTTGCAATGTGTAATAGAAACACTGTCCTTGTTATTGTTTTGAAAAACAAAAACAAAAAAATAGATAACGTTTCCTTTTTTTCCAGCTCCTACTACTTTCCATAGTACATAACGAGTTTAAAGGAAAAAAAGTCTTACAGTCCAAAACTGACCAGCAGAACTCAAATTTACAAGTTTTAACTCTTCAAAAAGCAACTAAACTCACTGTTCGCCTCACTACAGTGTGAAATGACTGTGCCTCGATCTGGTGGCACTGAAGTAGGGTTATGCATCCGAAACATCTGTTTTTCAAAAAACATTTGACACTTTATGATTTGTTTATGGAGTATCACCTCATCAGCTTTCTACATACAAGTGTCACACATCCTTGAGGGTTGTTCGTTCTAGTGTGTTTACAGAAAATATAAGTATGTTCCTCGAAGTCAACATTTGCACTTCTATCTTGGGGCAAAGTTGTGACTTAGGGAAGGGGTAGGCAGTCGGTTACCCAGAAACCTCAAATGATCCAAGTATATCATAAATTAATGATCCCATCGAAAATATACAGCAGCTGCATCAAAAAATTATATATTCATTCACTTGTTGACGTGACTGTTTGTCAAGGTGTTAAGAGTGTGATGGGGATGAAAGGTCACTTGCAGGGAAAAAAAATTAATATGTAGCAAAATGACTGTACTGTAAGACTAACATGAGGTAAGAAATTACTAAACTTGATACATGTACCGTTGAGGTATCATGAAAGTGTAGGTATTTGTCACCCCCCCCCCTCCCTAACTAAATATTGACAACAACAACAACAAAATAAATGCACAATCTGGTCTCTGTTGAAGTAGTTATACATGTATACTGGACTTGTATAACACATAAATTACTAATAATCTAGATGTTCTAAATAGATTCCAGATCCTGCCATACACATGGCTGGCTGCTTTATTTATAGTAATCACAGTGTGACTCCTATTTGTATTTATACAATGGTATCTATACGCGCAATGTGATTGGTCATTGCCCATGATCTTTTAGAGTATAGATACCTAAACGACGTCAAGGGAAACTAGTTTCCTTTGTTTTGTTCAATATAATTGTTACTCTACTAACTGTGTACAACTTCTTTAGTGTTGTTGTTCAAGTTAAGAGATTTCAGCTCTAACAGTAAATGGTAGACATAGAGTCTTGATAATAACTGTTTTAAATAGCAAGCCCGGTTTCGGAAATCTAACATGTTTTCCTTCGTCAGTTGCTTTAACCGTTAGTGCTCGTGGGTTGCGAGCACAAGAAAGTGACTTTTGGGAGCTTATTTCGGATTAAGCAGTTGAAAGCCACAAAAAAATTGCACAAGCTTTTTACCACGAAGAAAAATGGAGAAATGGAAACAAAAAGAGTCCTTGACAACTTCACGGAATGCCTAAACTGCAGGAAATCTTCACCACAGTTGCATCGTTTGTCATCGCTACGAGACTCACAGATTTGCAAAATGCTTTCTACTTTGAACAAGTGAAAGTGTTGAAAAACATTTCGAAGAAAGTTTATACAAGTATGATAAAGAAGGAAAGGTGAAGTAGAGGCAAAAGTAACATTTGGGACTTTAAAAATGCCTAAACTGGCACAAATCGATCCGCGAATGGTCAAGTGGAATGAGGCAAGTAGGCTGGTGCACCATATACCCAAGGAATAGCATGTTTCGAGAAACGTAAAAAAGAACACGACAATGATCCCAGCCCTTACACAATTAATAGAACAAACTTCACACAGGGAAAATAAATAAACTTGACAACAGTGCATAAATTGACTTGGTAAATCGAGCATCACTCGGCAAGTATGTGTATGTCGTTTTTTTTCTTTCTTTAATGTTTATAAAAACATAATGTGATAATCACATTCGAGAAATACTAGGAAACTGTGCATAAAACTGAGGTTTAAATGTACATCATCTTAACATCGATCTTTGATTGCCCCCACAGAGAAGGCAAAATCCCAACTAGACACTCAAGTAGCTTGTGCGTATGTTAAGGAAAGCACTTACAGTTGAAATAAACAGTCAGTATGCCAGAAAAAAATCACGATTTGCGTCAACAGGGGCCGCATAAATCGTTTGGTAATGATCACGTTTTCTATTGTTCGCTCCCGGCAAGTAAGAGTTGGTTAGGATGATGTAGAAAATCCCAAAGGGACCGCTTAGGTTGATTTTGTGACACTTATTGTGCAGTCATACTTTGATCACTCTTTTGTGTTACGTGTTCAATACCAGTGACATTTTGTGGAGCAGCTGTTTTGAAAGTTAAGGATCAAGAGACACTAGTTAGCCACTATTGAAGTTATAGGGTACGTATCACTGTGGAAACATAAACACTTGGAGAGTTTGCCAGACACGAACTCACAAATCTTTGATGAGAAACAATTTGCCATACACTCTTTCTCTCTCTTTGGGGGAATAAGACTCAGTCTCCAAACAAGAGAGATGAGTGAATTAACGGCTAGCTTGTCATCAGAACGATTAAACATTACAGAAGTTCGCCGACAGTTAAATTCTGTGCTGACGTTTCTACTCACAAATGTCTTATGTCCTTCTATAATTTTTTGTAAAGTATTGTCTTTATAGTCAAGGAGCTGGACTCAAAAAATGCTGTTTTGCTCAACCCACCCGACAGAAAAGGTCTGACGCCAGATTTATATAGAGGAGAAACTGCTCTTTCAAGTTAGGTACTATGTAGTTCCGAAATGTGGTACCACTAACCAGATGGGGGGGGGGGGGAGTTTTCCTGAAGCATGAAAACGAAGCTCTGTCAGTATTTGCTTTAGAAGTTTAACGTTAGGCATTAAAGTTCTTCTAAAACTACCTAAAAGTCATAAGC